TTAGACTAACACATGAGCAACCCATCTGGACCCAATTATCTAATAATATGCATCTTAGTATATGAGCCCAATTTCTAAAAGCAATTCGGCCCATATAGTTGTCCATACTGAAATAGACTCATCTTCCTTTAATTTAATTCTAATTAGATTTTACAAGCATGGGCCGAATTGGCCCATGTAATGGCCCATTAAACCCTTGGCTTAGATCCATATTTGATCATTTAATCAGTAATCCAAGAGGCTGTAATCAGTCCCCAACCAACCATAGGTTCGGCCCATGTAGGTTGAACCAAAACTAGGTCAAATCAGCCTAGGGTTTGGTGCCCAAAATATGCATCAATCCACATAGACTATGATCTGAAAATTCTCAATTATGATTTCCAATCATATCAGTAAATAAATAGTAATTAATCAAATTAAATAACTAGGGTTGATAATGTGATGGCCTGAATCTAATCTAAACAAATGTAGGATCCCGTTTAATTACAATCTCCAGATCAATCTCCATCTTCCTTTACAATCTCTAGCAAGTATTTTGATGTAAATAAATAGAAAAACCCTAATTTTTAACGATTACATCAGAAAAAACCTAATACATTCTTTCTAAAAAATAGAATTAAGTACAAACCAAATAATCAAATAATCAAATGGTGCACATTAATCTAGCCACCATCAAAGATTTTGATGAATTTTGGATGGATTTTAGATTATACCTAAAGGCAGATCACATGAAGTGATAGTTTTAGATGAAATTTGATGGATTTTAGATTATGCTCGAAGGCAAATTGCATGAAGTGAGAGATTTTGATGAATTTTAGATTATGCCCGAAGGTAGATCGCATGAAGCGACAACTTTTAATAAATTTTGATGGATTTTAGATTATTTTTTAAGGTAAGTTGCAAGAAGTGAAATCCTTTGATGGATTTTAGATTATGCTTGAAGGTGAATCATGTGAAATGAGAGATTTTGATGATTTTTGGATTATGTCTACACAAAGTGGGAGAATTCAATGAATTTTGGATTATGCCCACATGAAACAGGAGAGTTTAATGAATTTTGGATTATGCCCATACGAAGTGGGAGATTTCAATGAATTTTGGATTAACTTGGATGAAAACTTTTGGGTTGAGAAAAATTGGATGAAAGCAATTTGATGAACTTGTGTAGCGGGACTTGATGCAAAGATTTTTTAGGTAATTTTGGATTTGCAAAGAACTTTAGGTGAGGTGTATGCCAAATTTTGGATTAAAGAAAATTTGATTAAAAGATTTTGGATAATGAAAGAAATTTGCATGAAAATTTTAGATGCTTTGGATGGAAGAAAATTGGATGATTTGGATTTGGATGCAGATTTTTAAATAACTCTAGATTTGGAAAAGATTTTTGAAATTTTGGATGTGATTGA